CGGCAGCCGCAGCCCCCGCACCCGCCGCCGCACCGGCAGCCAAGACTGGATCCAAAAAACGGGCCCAAAGAACCGGATCTAATGTGTTTGCCATGTAATGAAAAATTGCTAAAACTCGCTATATTTCGTTGAATATATAAAAACATAAACCAAACATAAAACTGAGAATTCAGCGAAAAAATCATAGAAATCTTATTTATTGATCACAGGTTTACTCAGCATCAGGTCCAGGAGTTTAAAGAGGTTCGCATTATTTGTGTCCACACTTTCACTCGTTTTAAATCCATTACTAATTTATCATATAATTTGAAATTTAATTTTTCAATAAATTTGATTTCTAAGATTATTGTATTCTTATAGGCTTTCCAAATGATTGATCAGGATAAGGATGGTTTCATATCGAAAAATGATATCAGAGCTACTTTTGACGCTTTGGGTATTAAAATAGCTAATGGATAGATTATAGTTATGATATTAAATGTGATTTTATATTGAAACAATGCGCCAGGCCGAATTTGTACGGATGCAGAACTTGAGTCAATGATCAAGGAGGCACCCGGACCTATCAATTTCACAATGTTCTTGACCATTTTTGGTGACAGAACTCAAGGTATAAAAATACTATAAATAAATGACAAAAAGTGTGATCTATTACTTGATATAAATGTAATGAAATTTGATTGAAACCCAGGAACTGATGAGGAAGAAGTCATTCTGAATGCGTTCGCCCAATACGATGAGGGAAATGGACTCTGCAATGAAGACACGTATGTCCACTCAGAATATGATTATAAATTTATATTTAATAATTCACGCAATTTATAGCTTAAAACACGCTTTGGTCACTTGGGGCGAGAAGTTCAGTACACAAGAGGTATTGTATTATTAATAAAAGTTATATTGGATTAAAAAGTACTGATTATCTAATAATGAATTGAATGCAAAGTGTGACACAATATTAGCGGAGGCGCCGACCGATGGCAAGGGAAACATCGATATTAAAAAATTCGCTCAAATCTTAACCAAAGGAGAGGACGAAGAGGGCGCCGGAGCATAAAGTGTTCATATTATGGATCCAATTGTTGACATCCTATTCACTAAACTAATTTGATTTGCAATAAACAATATTGTTGATTATCTGGATAAATAATTCATGTTAATAATTACTATTTTCCCAATTATAACAATTTAGAAATACTGAAAGATCTAATTAAAACGATATCCAATAATAAATTATTGTGACATCAATTCACAAACCTATGTATAAATACAGTATGTCTAATTCAGTCTATCATTAACTACATCTCTCTCTCTCTCTCTCTCTCTCTCTAAATGTATTTATAAAATTAATCAAGAAAGAATTTCTTTTGGTTAAAGCTTTTTAATAATAATAAGCATTAGATTTGAAACAAATAAGTAACTAACTAACGAATCTAATTGAAATATCAGTTTGGAAATAAGTGTTTACTCTCAAGTCTTATTAGTGTTTTATTTATATTTACTATTATTTAAAAATCTCTGAAATTATAACCAGTTTTAAATCTTTGATGAATCTGTTAAAATATAAGTAAGTGTGTTATCTATGTTATCCTGGGCATATCAGTCCTAATTGTCGCCAAGGAGAAAAAGAAATTTATTTATAATTCTAATGCTATTGTTAGCAATGAATTCATGAAAAGTCACTTGATTACCGTTAAAAATATACATGAGAAAAGTTTTCACATTCTCATTAACTGAAGTCAACAAATAAATATTGATTTATGAAAAGAGAGAAATAAATATTTACAATTTTTTTTAAATACTATACTATATGGTACTCTACTCTAAATATACAGTATACGATTTAAAAGGGTTTCAAAGTATGTCAACATTCAATATATTTGTATTTTATAAGCATTTGTAGTATAAAAGACGATTATGTAGGGGAAAATGTTTCGGTATTGATTTGATCTGAAATTCCCTTTTGTCTGAAAATCTTTTATATAATATTCTTTGAATTTCAATTGTTTGCATATAAAATGAATCCACACGTTGTCAATAAAAATATTCAATTTCATAAATTGATATTCATATCAATGATTTGAAATCATTAAAAGTAAGATTTGCCGGAAATATTTGAATGGTTAACTTAATTTTATTTTGAATATTCCAATTTATACTAATAGATATAAAATATAACACAGTAAATTGCTTAATATATGGATATTTATATTATAAATTACAAAATACTATAACTTACAAATTGAATTTAATTTATAAATAGCGACTTTGAGTTTAAGTAATACATAAACGTAATGTTAAATTGTGGAGAACTATTTAATTTAAAATAATCCTTGTTAATTTATTAAATATTAAAATATTTAGTGCAGCAAAACTAAGTAGCAATTAATTGCTCGTAAAATCGCAAA